AAAAAAAAAAAAGATTGGGAAATCAGGATGGGGGTCCAGGATGGGAACACAAAATATTTCAGGAATAATCATAGTATCATCCAGCTGCTATTTGCGGAGCACTGACCATGTGCCAGCACCCTGTAGGTGCCTTACACACATTATGTATGTATAATCATCACAAAAATACTCCAAGTAGGCAGAGAAAAGAGCACTGGGGCTCAGAAAAGAAAGGGAGTCATTTTTCCAAGTTCACACAGCTATTAAGTAGTGCAGCAGTATGAGAAATACACACACACACACACACACACACATATTTTAAATTTCCAGTTCAGTGCTGTTTTGGAATGATGACCTGGGAATGACCATTCAAGGGGGAAGGAGGGCTCGAGGCAGGCACAGCACTGGCAGGGGTTAAGGCCTCTTGCAAGAAAGAGTAAGTGTTGGGGGCAAGAATGTAGCCATTGTCATTTTGGTACCAGAAGGGGTACTCACCCGGTGTGCCAGCCTGATGCATCTTAGTTTCTGATTTTACATATACTGAACCCAACTGGCAACCATTTGTATCTTATCTTCTACATAACTGTCTTTTTCTCACAATAGCCACGGTTCAGATTAAACTCCTTGCATGACGTTGGCTAAAAACCCTGCAACAACAGTGAAGGCCCGGGGCGCCTGGGTGGCTCAGTTGTTAAGCATCTGCCTTCGGCTCAGGTCATGATCCCAGGGTCCTGGGATCGAGCCCCACATTGGGCTCCCTGCTCCGTGGGGAGCCTGCTTCTCCCTCTCCCACTCCCCCTGCTTGTGTTCCCTCTCTCGCTGTGTCTCTGTCAAATAAATAAATAAAATCTTTAAATAATAATAAAAAAAGAACAGTGAAGGCCCTATTTAGGAAGGGAAAGGTTATATAAATGATTCATCCATAAACTGACACAGGACTTGCTTAGTGCTTTCCTCTAACCTTTAGTTTTAGGTTAAGCTGTGCCTTCCAGTGACTCTAATGACAGAGAAGCTGCCGATGGATTTGAGTGAAGTTCTTATAAGTGAATACCTGGCACAGAAAACGTTTTGTTTTGTTTTGTTTTGTTTTATATATATATACACACACACACACACACACATACATACATACATACATATATATATTAGAAAAAGCAAATCAAAGACTATTCTTTATTAACCAAATGTAATGAAAATGCATTGTCAGATTTATGTTTTAGTACCACAGAGGCATCGATAATTACCTGTTTCTGAAATGAGATTGCTGATTCAAAAAAAGCCCCCAAATCTCAATATATAGAAAATTCTCTTACCCACATCCTCTTTTTTTTTTTTAAAGATTTTATTTATTTGACAGAGAGAGACACAGCGAGAGAGGGAACACAAGCAGGAGGAGTGGGAGAGGGAGAAGCAGGGAGCCCGATGCGGGGCTCGATCCCAGGACCCCGGGATCATGACCTGGGCCAAAGGCAGACGCTTAACTGACTGAGCCACCCAGGCGCCCCTCCTCCTCTTTTTTTTAATTGTGATGTTATGATATAATTTACAGGGTAAGGTGGAAATGTATCTCTTGTGGAAACTCTAAACATAAGATTCTGTCACTTAGGGGGCTTCAGGCAGAGGATTCTTTTTTCTATAATCAAGTATTTAGCAAAGACAACATGAAGCTCCTTGGACTGTTCTCAGTCGTACAATCCAACCCTCCCTTACCTTTTTTCTTTTCCTTCTAGAGTAGTTTAGTTGCTTACCTACGGTGATTCAAAAGTGAGGCAGTTTGGTTTATCATTGATATTCTGGTTTCCTCTTTAATGGGGCTGGTCATGTGGGCAAAGGGGCAGCACTGAGCTATTTAAGCATGCCTTTTGAGCTTTGCCCCTCCCTCAAGGAGTTTGAGAAGCGGAGATGCGGGGCCTCAGAGGTGATTTCTCTCGGGGCTACCAGCTGTAGGATTCAGAACAGCTGGATTCCTCTTCAGAGGCTGGACGCCCAGATGCACAAGTGTGAGAGCCAGGGCGCTGTGCGGCCGGGGCACCGCAGCTTGATTCTCTGATCCAGCTTTCCCCTTCCTTTCCCTGCCCCACCCCCAAAGCGTCAGGGATATAATAGTGTGAGGTTGGTGACATGTTGAGGGCTGTCGGCATATTCCTTACTTAGGAGTCTTACTCTGAATGCATCTGTAAGAAAATTATGGGGAGGGTAGAATCGTGATTCTTTATGTCAGCAAAAAGTGGTTATCAGTTAAAAAAATAAACACTAGATTGAAAGTAGCAATAACTGGATTCCGCCGTCTCCCTCTGACCTTGAAAAAGATCTATAACTCGTCTGCATGTCTCTTCAGTGGACCTGGGGTAATATGTGTTTCCTAGAGCTTCTGTGTGGTTGAGATAACCTGCGGGAAGTGTTCTGAACTCCTTAAGGAATGATGTCAAGGAGACAAAGGCAATGACTGTTATTACTGCAAAGACAGCGAGGAGGCAAAGACAGATCTGCATTTTCTTCCTTAATCTTCTCATCTTTCCAGATGCTTGTGGGTCCTTTTGAGTCCCCCTCTCTGTTCCTCAGGTTGGAGTGGCGGGGGGTTCCATGCTTGGGTGCAGGAAGAATGCCTTCTACCCCCTGACACTGTCTTCAGCAGGAAGACCTGTGTAGGCACCACCCTCTGGGTCAGGGGTGAGTGGGACCCCCAGCGCCCTGGGAGAGCACGGGATCCGCAGATAGAAGGCATCTCTCCTCTGCAGGCCCAGGCTAGGCAGCCATGGACGGTGTGCTCCTGCACCGCTTGCCTACTCCTCCTTCACACAGCCCATTGCCTGGTGTCCAGGCTCCTCTGGTCGCCCTCCATGACACAGGGAAGTGAATCCAAAGAGGCCAGTGCTTCCTACCCGCCTGGAGTCGGGCCGACTGGGGACAGCTTTCGGAGCGGTCCGGCAGTGTGAGCCCAGTTGTTCCTGTGGCCATCAGCCATGTCCTTCAGCGCCACCATCCTCTTCTCCCCTCCCGGTGGCGGCGAGACCAGATGCTGCTGCTGCACCTGCAAAAGCGAGACCAGTGCGAGCAGCACGGGCTCCCAGGGCGGGAACCCTCCTGCCAGCACCCCCATCACGGTGACCGGACACGGCCTGGCCGTTCAGAGTTCAGAGCAGCTCCTGCACATTATCTACCAGCGGGTGGAGAAGGCCGTGGGCCTGGCCGAGGCCGCTCTGGGGCTCGCCCGGGCCAACAACGAATTGCTCAAACGTCTCCAGGAGGAGGTGGGTGAGCTGAGGCAAGGGAAAGCCTCGGCCCCGGATGAAGACGGGGACGGCCGGGCGCACGGCTCCCCGCCCGAGGAGCCGGGGCCTCTCAAGGAGAGCCCTGCGGAGGCCTGCAAGGCGGCGGCCGTGGCGGAAGAGGAGTGTGACAGCGTGGGCAGCGGCATGCAGGTGGTGATTGAGGAGCTGTGGCAGGTGGGAGCCGCCTCGGCCGTGGGGCCCGGGCCCTTGGGCTTCCCGGCGGCGCAGAGAGACGCGCGGCTCCCGGGGTGCGCCCTGGCGGCCGGCGAGGCGGCCCCGCTGCTCAATCCCGTGAGTATGGCCGCAGAGCAGGACGCGAGTGCCGTGGGGTGGCTCCCGAGGGCTTTTCCGGGCCTGTCCCTCTTCCTTCTCCCTCCCTCTGGTTCCTTTCCAGCCTCAGCCTTGCTTTTTGGTGTTCCTTGTGCGGAAACAGGACCGCACCAGGCGTCCTTTGCCGGCAGGGATAGGCAGCCCTCGCCCGCTTTGCCCGCTTTCCCCTGAACCGCAGCCTCCGTGGCAGGAGCTCGGGTCTGGTGTGCGGGGTGCCGGCCGTGCCCGCCCCCCCCCTCCCGGAGCTCTGCGTGCCACCTTCCCGTCCGCAGCTGGCTCCGCTGCTCCGGGGGCTCTGCTTCTCCCGGCTAGGAGGCCTGCCGTACACAGACGGCTCATTCATATTTTATCACGGGCCCTCCGCTTGCCAAGAGCAATTCAGTACAGAGAGAGATGGGAATGTGGGGGGTAGAGAGACAGAGGTGGAGAGAGAGGGAGAGCCCGAGAGGGACAGAGGGAGGGGCGGGGAGGGAGGAGACGGAAGGAAGGAGAGAGCGAGAACGAACGGGAACGGAAAGGGAACGGAAAGACAGGTGTAGGGAGGGAAGGAGGCAGGTGGAGATGAAGGGTTGAGGAAGGAGGAAAAGTGAAAAGAGCATAGAGGAAAGGCGAATCTAAATGGCAAGAGACTTCACGCGCGCAAGAGAACGTGAGGGAAGGTGGGAAGGAGGTAGAGGGAAGGGAAAAACGTGAGGACAAGAAGTGGACGGCTGGGAGTTCCTGGGAAGAGAGACATGTCGGGAGAAGGAGGGAAGCAAGCGCGCCTATTTTGTGAGCAGGAAAAGACACAGAAGTACACTGTGCTATTTCAGTTTCTTTACTGCTCAGGGCCATCTGAGCAGGAAAACCCTGGCTGAGTGGAGTAAAAACTGCAGAGCGCGGCACATGGAAGTACGAAAAGGAGATGGAGCAACTAGGGAGATCATAGAGATGGGAAAGTAACAGATGTGTCACCACTTGAGAGACAGTGGGAGGTCTGTCAGCTCTCCTCCCCCATGCTCTCCCCCCCCTCACTTTCCTCCTCCCTCCACAGGCACAACAAGGCCCAGATACCCAGGAAAGAGAAAAGGAGCAGAACACACAGGGGAGATGGGAGGGAGGAAACTCCCAGCCCATCTGCTAGATCTGAGAAATGAATGTAGAAACCCCCTGTCCCCTTCCAGTGTCACGCTGCAGCTGGTCACTGCTCCCTGAAGGCCTAACCATGTGGTGGGTGGTGGCCACTGCCGCTTGCCCCACTCTGCCCAGCCAGGATTCTGGGGGGTAGGGGGGGAGGGTTTGGGGCTGCCGGGAGGTGGGAGGAGGGGGGGGCGGTCGGTACCAGGTACCAGGCCAGGCAATGCCTTGAGCTTTGGTTCTGTCAGGCAGGGAAGCCTTCCAAGCCGACAGGATGGAATTAGATTTCACAGCATAGAAAGCAGCTCACAGGTCTATAAATCTCAGCCTCCTCCCCCGCTCTGTGTTTTTTTTTCCCCCTACTTTCCCTGTTTTGTTTTCTTGGCTGCAGAAATCCCCCCTCCTTTCTTCTCTCTCTGTCTCCTTCCTCCCTCCTTCCTTTCCCTGCCCTGTATGTCCTTGAGTGAGGGCACAGGCAGCAAGTGGATGTCAGGACAGTGACAGTAGGATGCGGCCAGGACAGAATCAAGGTGAGGGCACAGAGAGGTCCTGCGAAGGGAATGGGGTGGGGTGGGGTGGGGCAGTTGGTGCCAGCCTCTCTAGAAATTTCTGACTTTATATCTCCCTTCTTTGCTTCCATTTTTCTCCTGTTTGTTGTTACCATTTTATTTTCTTGTTCCTTCTCTTGCTTGGTGTTCCTTTCTTACCATCACTTCCTCCCCCAATCCCTTTTAGACAAAATACTTGCCTGGCTAGTGTTCTTATACCCAAGAGCAAATCACAGATGATTCCTCACAAATAGAGCGTCAAAACAATCCTTGTCCTTGTAATCAGTCCTGTGGGTAACGATTCAACCCGAGAGGCCCTGTATATCCAAGAAATATTTGCCAACACTCCCGTAGGAGTCCCAGAGAAACAAGCTGTTGACCCTTAAGACTGTGCTGGATTCCCCCTGCTTTCTACTCTCTGTTCACTATCCTTGGCCAAAGAATGATGGTTGACCAGGTTCCCCTAAGCCTGGATGGCTAATAGGCTATTCTTTTTTATGTTCTTAGCTGGTGGATGATTATGTGGCCTCTGAGGGTGCAGTACAGCGGGTGCTGGTCCCTGCTTATGCCAAGCAGCTCTCACCAGCTACACAACTGGCTATCCAGCGGGCAACCTCAGAGACAGGGCCAGAAAATGGAAGCAAGCTGCCACCACCCCGCCCCGAGGACATGCTCAGTGCTGCTGCTGTGCTGGATGGTGCCTTGGAAGAGTCAGGCCCCGGGGGAACAGGGGAGCTGAGACACTCTCTAGGGTTTACCGCTTCCCCATGCAGGACCAGAGGGAGTGGGCAGAAGAACTCCAGGCGCAAGCGGGATCTGGTACTCTCCGTGAGTGAGCTCAATTCTATACATTTTTCTTCAGTCTGGAGAGAGAAGTGAAGAATGAAGTGTGGGTTGATTTTAAACGTCCCATATTGAATGAATGGTATCCTGAATCCTACTGGAATGGGAGGGGCAAGAAGGAGACAGATTGGTCCATAGCCCTGGGGCTAGGCAGACCCCCTGCTAATTGGGGAACTTTTTAAAGCCTTTTCCAAATAGATTGAAATCTTCTGTTTAAAGAGAAGAGAATTGTATCATATCTCCTCCCCGTGAGCTAATAGTCCTGATGGGAAGATCTTTAAGGGATTGATCAGACTGACCACTGAAGGGTAGCACTGGGGTAGCCTGCAGATGACCAGTGTTCAGGGTAAGCAGCAAGGGGCCCCTTGGCAGAATGGCCAAGGTATGCTGAGGTAGTCCCAAACTCCAGAGGCGCAGAGGGCCCCTAGACACTCAGCTCAGTTATAAAGGTTTGGCGAGCCTAGGGATTCTAAGAGCTCTTGGCAGGGAAGGTACTGGGCTGAACCAGTTCCGCCTGAAACTTGGAGTGGCTTGGAGCCTCAGGAGCATCCCTAAACATCCTCCAGTGCACAGGGCAGCCGCCCACAATGATTCGACCTAAAACGTCCATAGTGCCAGGGTTGAGAAACCCTGCTCTAGGGTGACCATAGTCCTTTGGATCACCTCTGTGTCCCCAAACATCTTTCTGATAACCGTCGGGGTGTTCTTTGGCTAGATCCTGTTCATATGGACTGTAAGGCATTTCCCTTCTCTGGCTCATGGCTGGTAGAGTCACTGGAGAGTTCTGGATAGGAAGGGAGCTCACCATTCACACCCACCCAAAATCTCGTCACAGTCTAGCCCTTTTCCTCTTGTCACAGTCTTAATAAAGGTTGAAGCCTGCCAGGTACCATGTGTACCTCCTTCATCTTCACTGGAGATTCTTCTTTCATTACTTCTTGCTTCTTTTTCCCTTTTCTAAGGGCTCCTGACTCTTACCCTCCCTTTCATTTGATTTGTTTTTACATTGAAGGGTTCTTTCCTTCCCTGGGAAGGAAGACACCATTCATAATCAGAATCAACTGGTTTCTAACCTTCATTTTCAATTTTGGTTATGTTCAGGGATAGCTCACTTATCAAAAACGGAATGGATTTAGTTTTTCTGTCAGAAACTTCTGGCCCAAGAGGGCCACTCTCACTGCCAGTGACAGAAATGGAGGCATATACTTAGAAATGCACTACAAGGGATTTCCCAAAACTTCATAATGTTTAAATCATGAATAAATGTGTGATAATTACAATTTGCATAAAAATGGGACTTTTGACCACTCCCTGTTCTTCTGCCTATGGCCTCCAGTGAGAGGTCTGGGGTTGAGGCCTGGCTGCTGCCTGCCCTTTGGAGAGCCTGGTGGAACTGAGGACCTTACAGGAGGACAGTGGGCTCACCCCTCCTGCTCTCTGTTGCAGTTGCTTGAAAAGGCTCTGAGGACCAGTCAGGGAATTTTGCTGCCCATCACAGAGGAAGGTTTCAGATGTTCTTGTGCCATACTGTGGTTTCGAGGGAGACGGTTAGCTGCAGGCCTTTAGCTCTGGGAAGGAATCAGAGAGGCATCCCTCCAGTCTGCTCAGGCCGCTGTGGATTGCTGCTGGGGATCCAGAAAGGGGAACCACTGATTTCTTGGAATGCGGCTGATCCCAGCCACCCCTTGGGGAAATGTATTTATTTTTAGCTCACTCAGGAAGTGGGTGAGCCAGCAGCCTTTACAGTCTTAACACTTATTATTGTCTTAGAGTATTTCCCCTTTCCACTTCAAGCCTGGTTTGATTTTTATCAGCTGATTTCTTCCAAGCCACTTGAACTGGAAGTGGTGCAACTCCTTTTTTTTCTTTCTTTCTTTCTTCTACCTTTTTTTTTTTTTTTTGCCAACACTTTCAAATTCTTTCTGAAGCATTCACCCATCCCTTGTGATTCCTTAAATTGGGACTTCTAAGAGGTAAAATAACGATATCAAATATGAAGCTAATTTCGTAACAGTCCTTTTTATAGAGTGGAGACCCTAACCATAAAAAGTTGACAGTACTTTCCTAAACTGATATGGTCAGTCAGTCATAGAGGCAGAAGGGTAAATTGGGGATTTCTCAATTGAAGCTGAAGTCCTGAGATCAGGATATGAGTCCATCGGTTTGGGACTGGGAATTTCCACCGACCGAGGGAGCTTGGCATGAAAATACCATCAGAAACACCGGAACTAAATTTAATCGGAAGAAATGTAAAATCCTGCATCAAAGTTTAAAAAAACAAAACAGTTGCAGAATGGCCGAGATAGTAATCCATATGAAAAATGGACTTGAGTTGACTGTAAGCTCTCTAGGAATGACAACTGTGACCTTAGGAATAGGGGTGGGGTTGCTAAGAAAGGTAATACCATCTTGGGTTTCATTCCTAGAAGTGTAGAGTGCCACTTGGGGAAGTAATGCTCCCTTTGGCCAGGTCTCCACTGATGCATTAGATTCGTTTCCCACTGCCACGTTGTCCAAGGGACACTGGCAAGCCAGGGAGCCTGATAGTTTCAAGAGGCGTCTGTCTGGAAATTGTGTCATAAGGAATGGTTGAAGGAATTGGGGATATTTAGACTGGATAGAAGACTTAGAGAGTACATGAGAGTCTTCAAAGATTTTAGGTGCTGTTAGGGGCAAAACTGGCCAGATTTTGGAGTCTAAGGCAACACTTTTTAACACTCAACAGTAAAAAAGCTGACTCGAAAAAGAGTAGTGAGAACCCATTCTTAAAGGTATGTGAGCAAAGCTGAAAACCTGTTGAATGTTGTGAAAAGGAGGTTGAGTGATAGCGTCTTCAAGGTCCTTTGCATTTCACATTTCTGTTATTTTAGGTTTGTGTTTTTCAGACCATGCTGTGTACACCCTTGAGATTTGTGGTAATGTGCAAAGGAATATACTTAGGACATTTTCCTGGGTCATCAATTTTACTAGGAGATTAAGAAGACATTTTTTAAAAATTTTATTTTATTTAAATTCAATTAATTAACATATAGTGTAGTGTTAGTTTCAGAGGTAGAGTTCAGTGACTCATCAGTTGCATATAACAGCCAGTGCTCATTACAAGAAGACATTTTTAGATTAAAAGAAATACAGATATATTGTAAAGAGTAGCGGCCCTCAAGAAATGTCCACTTGCAGTAGTCCTGGTGTATATTTGCTCTCTCCTGGCTATTAGGAAGGAGTATGTTTGTGAAAATGTCTGAGACCTTTTGCCCTAGTGACCACATTCCCCAGAAAAAGAAGTAAGACCAGGGATGATCCTGGAGTCTCCATACAAATTAAATGAAAAGGACCACAAAAGGGAGGACATTCGAAATACTGACTTGGATAAGCTCTCTGGCTATGAAGGGGCATGAACAGAAATGGTGCCCAGACTATGGGAAGGATTCAGGCAGAGAACCCCATAGGGACAATGCTTAGGGAACAGAGGAGGGTGTCATCATATCCACTCCCGGCTTGAATCTGTTTTTGTTTTTTTCCCCCAGAAATTGGTCCACAATGTGCATAACCACATCACCAATGACAAGAGATTCAATGGGTCTGAAAGGTATGATCCTCTTGAGGGAAAAGAATCACAAGGTACTCTGCCAACGAGAGGGAAGCACAGGGCTTCTCCAATACAATAATGAGGCTAAGGCTTTGCCCTCACCATTGTCCCTTGCCTCCTGTCCTTGGCCACGGGGGAGTTTGCCACAAAGTTGATTTGTGCCAGGAATCTCTGTCTGGCTTTTAATACGCTGACTGCCTTGTTCATGATCTTCTTTGTGGCAGCATCAAGTCCTCTTGGAATATTTCAGTAGTGAAGTTCCTTCTGGAAAAGCTCAAGCAGGAGCTGGTGACCAGTCCCCACAATTACACTGATAAGGAGCTGAAAGGTGAGAAAAATGGAATTAACTCCCATCTCATTCTTTTTCCACTCACTGTTCTTGGTCAGAGAAGAGGCATAATGGAGATGATTTAGGTGGTTTTGAAAATAGTGGACTTAAAAATTTTTTTTGGCTATTCTCACATCTTCGCAGGATTGTTTCTTTTTCTTTTTTTCTTTTCTTTCTTTCTTTCGGGAGATTGAGCGGGGGTTTGGGTGGGGGGGGGGGAGAGAATCCCAGACAGACTCTGCGCTGAGCACGGAGCCCAACACAGCTTGATCCCAGGACCCCGAGAGCACGACCCAAGCTGAAATCAAGTCAGAAGGTCAACCGACTGAGCCACCCAAGCACCCCTTCTTTTTTTTTTTAAGATTTATTTATTTTAGAGAAAGAGAGAGAGTGTGTAAGTGAGGGCAGGGGCAGAGGGAGAGAGAAAAATCTCAAGCAAACTCCCTGCTGAGCATAGAGCTGACTTGGAGCTCAATCTCAAGACCCTGAGATCATGACCTGAGCCGAAATCGCTCAACCAACTGAGCCACCCAGGCGCCCCAGGATTGTTTCTAATTGCCTTTTTTTTAATTCCCCTATCCCACTTGAAATGAAAATGGGAGAAGGAAGTCAGAATCCAGGCCTGCCCTTTTGTCCCTAAATATTACCTCCTGGGTTTTCTACTTTCCTTACTCTTCTATTATTTGCCCATAGCTAACCCTGAAGCATTAAGAAAGCTTCTGCTGAAAACGCGCTGGTAATCCACTACCAGCAGAGTAGAATGGGAGTGGGTTTGATGGAGCCCAGGTCCGGGGAGGGAGCTACAGAAGCTCGGACTTGTGTGCCAGTGGGAGATATGGGGGGAGTCAGTCTGGACAGGGAGGTGAGCAGAGAGAGCCAAACCAAAGAGGAGTAAATAGATGCTTATGGGTCTGTGAGAAAGCCCACCATCTAGAGTGATGCTCACCTCCCAGCCAGTAGTGTTAGGGCAGAAAAAAAGGGCTGAGCACCTGCTCTCTGCCCCCTCCCTTTTCCCTCCTCAGGAGCCTGTGTAGCCTACTTTCTCACTAAGAGGCGTGAGTACCGCAACTCCCTGAACCCCTTTAAAGGCCTGAAGGAAAAAGAGGAGAAGAAGCTTCGAAGTCGCAGATACCGGGTAGGTTTCTAGGCCTTCCTTTCAAGATGCTAAACACTAAACCCTACTAAGCTCCAGTGGGAAGGGCCAGTGGACGTGGCATCTGAGAATAGGGCTGAGAGCCAGGAATGTTGGCAGATAGAGGAGGAGGAGCGGGAGCCGGTTCTAAGGTGACTTGGGGGCTAGGTTCTCTCAGACACAGATTTTACACAGCCTTCTTCCTACGAGAACCTGCTCCCCAAATCTAATGCATAGTTTGTTTCTCTTCCTCTCTCTGCCCTGGGCCCCTACCTTAGCTTTTTGCCAACCGATCCAGCATCATGAGGCATTTTGGACCTGAGGACCAACGCCTGTGGAAGGATGTGACAGAAGAGCTGATGTCAGATGAAGAGGACAGTCTTAATGAGCCAGGTGTCTGGGTGGCCCGGCCTCCCCGGTTCCGGGCCCAGCGCCTCACAGAGCTCTGCTACCACCTGGATGCCAACTCTAAGCATGGCACTAAAGCCAACCGTGTGTATGGGCCTCCCTCAGACCGATTACCTTCTGCTGAGGCCCAGCTCCTTCCACCAGAACTTTATAATCCTAATTTTCAAGAAGAGGAAGACGAGGGAGGTGATGAGAATGGACCTGTCTCCCCATCCTTTGACCAACCCCACAAAACCTGCTGTCCTGACTTGAACTCATTCATTGAAATCAAGGTGGAAAAGGATGAATGAAATCTATAACCAAGAATAACTCTGGCACCTGCCACTCCCCATGTCCCAGGGATGGGTGGCCATGGGGCTTCCCAGATTAACAAGGTGTCCTCTGCAGTCTGAGAAAGCAAATCTGTCTCTCTTCTTACCACAGTCCCCAATGGAAGTGGAAGCTGGCAGCTGTGGTGGGGTAAAAAGACTTACCTAGAAGGGGGACCTCCCCGGCTCCCTGTGAATGGCAAGCCAGAAAATGCGTATTTCTAAGCATAAATAGTGCCTCGGGGCGCCTGGGCTGAGGAAAGGAGGAGGATGGGTCTAAGAAACATGAGGCCTTTGTGACATATGCCCCAGTCTCGGAGTTGGTTTTTTTCTGGTTTCACACAAAGCCCTGGGGAAGCAGCCCTGGTTGCACCTTCTGCTTCGCCGTGACTGCTGGTCTGGCTCTGCAGTGGCCGCCCCACAGGACCAGTCCAGGGTCCTACTGCCCCCTGGTGGGCAGTTTCAGTCATGGGCTTGCGTCTTCTGAGCAGAGCTCCGCTCCATTATTTGGGAATTGGGATACAGATATAAGAGCTATTGTTTATTGAATTATGTAAGGCAGATTTTATTATTCCCATCTAACACATGAAGAAATTAAAGCTTAGGGGCGCCTGGGTGGCTCAGTTGGTTAAGCGACTGCCTTCGGCTCAGGTCATGATCCTGGAGTCCCTGGATCGAGTCCCGCATCGGGCTCCCTGCTCGGCAGGGAGCCTGCTTCTCCCTCTGACCCTCCCCCCTCTCATGTGCTCTCTGCCTCTCTCATTCTCTCTCTCTCAAATAAATAAATAAAATCTTTAAAAAAAAAAAAAAAAGAAATTAAAGCTTAAAGAGTTCCATGTCTCACTGGCAGCTGCTGTCCCACTGTGTGACCCAGCAGTATATGGGGCTTTGTAGCTATTAGTCCTGTCAGCCAACCTGTATTTGTAGGAAGGGGTGTGTGTGTGTGTGTGTGTGCACGCGCGCACGCGGGTGTACACACTCACGCACATGCACCCACACACACTTGCATACAAACTTTGTGCCTGATGAATGGATTGTGAATTAAAAACGGCTTTCTGTTCAGTCATACAACAAATACTAACTACTTACTAGGTGTCAGGTACTGTGTTAGGTGCTGTGGGTACACTGTTGATCAGGTGAGGTGCTGATTAGAGGTTTTGTTATCTAATCAGGAAGCCAGGCAGTTAAGTCGACAGTGAACTGAACTGCCGTAGGGGTGATGATGGGGGGGGTGTAAGGTGCCTTGGCAGCAGACAGCAGGGGTGGCTGACCTACTCTGGTGGTCTGGAAAGGCTTCTCAGAGAGTGGTGCTTAAACTGGTACCTGAAAGATGGGGAGGCGTTAACCAGAAGGGAAGGGGAGGCCGGGAGTGTTCCAAACAAGGGAATAGCAAGGACGAAAGTCCAGAGGCAAGAGAGAGCACAGAGGAGTTGCCATCCTCCTGCAGAACAGTTTGAGGAAGGGATGGTGTGGAGAGAAGCTGGAGAGACACCGAGACCCCGTCAAGTATCTTAAATAATAGAGACTTTAGTTCGAAGGCAGTGAGAAATTGTTCAAAGGCGGTGAGCAGGGAAATGAGGTCATCAGTTTTGTGTTTGAGAAGAATCGCTTGCCCTCGGTATGAGATGGACAGCAGGGAGAAAGCCAGGCCGGGGTGGGGGGGTGGGTACTTCTACAGTGGCCCAGGAGAGAAGAGACAGCTGGACAGAAAACGATGGTGACAGGAGGACAGATTTGAAAGTGATTTAAGAAGCCGGACTGATAGGACTTGGTGATTGACAGGCCTTGCTGACGGGACTTGGTTGGACTTGAGGCGGAGGGAGGAGGACAGAAGGTTGATGTTCAGGTTTCTGGCTTAAGCAGCAAAGTGGTTAATGGCGCCATTTACTCAGGGGACACTGGAGGAGCCAGTTTCGGGAGGCAGGGAAGGTGAAGTCAACTGAAAGCGTTGTATGCCTTTGAGACAACCAAGTGGAGATGCTAGTAGTCAGCTGAGTTTTTAAGTCCAAGAAAGTCTGGACTAAGGGGTGCCTGGCTGGCTCAGTCAGTGGAGCATGTGACTCTTGATCTCAGGGTCATGAGTTCAAGCCCCATGTTGGGCATAGAGCTTTATTTATTTATTTTTTAAGATTTTATTTATTTGACAGAGAGAGACACAGAGAGAGAGGGAACACAAGCAGGGGCAGAGGGAGAGGGAGAAGCAGGCTTCCTGCTGAGCAAGGACCCTGGGATCATGACCTGAGCCGAAGGCAGACGCTTAACTGAGCCACCCAGGTGCTCCTAGAGCTTACTTTAAAAAAGAAAAAGTGTCTGGGCTAGAGATAAGGATTTGGGAGCCATCTGTGTACATAGTTCATAATTCAAATCTTGAGGAGGGAGAACAGGGCGAACAGGGCCTGTGGAGCTCCTGGCTCCAGATGAGACTATGGAACAGTTACTACTGGAGCATGCCTTCATTGCATCCCTTTGCCCCTTCACTTGCCTCTGGTTCTTGTTATCCCCTGAAAATACAGGTCGTTGGTCTCAACTGTGCCCATTGCTGCCACCACCAACTCCCACATGGGCCTCCTTTAAAGGCTTCTCAACTTCTCATAAGGTTCACTCTCCCATCCTCACTCCAGCATGGGAAAGCTTACAAATATAAGAGGCTCTGTGGATATTTTGGTTGTAAGTAGCTGGAAGGAAGAATCCAGGTTCTCCTTTCCCATCTGGAGACAGCCTTATGGTTAATTCTGAAGATGTCGCTCACAGCAGGTTCTGAAGGCAACCTGATAGCTCCCCTCTGTTACTAATGCTTTCAGTGCTCCCTGCTTCTAGTCTGATAGTGAACCCTCCTCTGGATCAGAGAAAAGCTGTAGGCCTGACAGGGAAACAGAGAGGCTGATTCCCCAGAGAGTTGAGGTCAGGGAGACAATGCAGCTAGGACAAAGAAGCCAAATAGTTTGTGCCAAATTAATTTCCCCAAAGATATTAACCTCCTTTGCTTCCCATTCCCTAAGGCTACACTAAGATTATGAAAGGTGTTCAAAATGTTGAAATGAAAATAATATGCATGATTTGTTTGCATAAAATTTTCATACTCATTTACTATCTAAATACAAAGGAATCATTTTCCTTCCCCATTTTACCTCCTCTACCTCTTTTTTTTTTTTTAAAGATTTTATTTATTCTTATTTTGAGAGAGAGAGAGAACACAAGAGGGGGGAGCGGGAGAGGGAGAAGCAGACTCCCTGCTGAGCAGGGAGCCC